GGGGGGGGGGGGGGGGGGGATATCAAAGGCTCCGATACTTCGCTGCAAAAATAAAAAAATTACGAAAAGTTAACGGGTGCATTGAAATTTCGTCGTTTGGGTTTCACTTATTATTTATGATTAATCAATTCCAGATGAATTTTATTCCGAAATATTATTTATCCGAATTTTGTAACGAATAAAAATTTTCATGAGACGTTTGACAACCACGCATTTTTATTCGACGCAGTTGATATTCTTGTGTCCCGATAAAATCCTATACTGTACTATAGAATCTATAGTATATGCCTTAGAGGAGTTCAAACGATGGCGCCCGCCGCGCGCACTCTAACCTCCCTCAACGTTGCCATGTTCAGCCAGCAGTTTCCTCTAACGCAACTAAAAACCCGAACTATGCCATGCATTTTCAAAAATTACAAATAATCGCTGCGGTGACGGCTGATGAAATTGTGAGGATATGTTCCTGAAATACATACGGTTCTATTCGTGAAGCGTTTGGATTTTTATTGCACTGTGGATTATTTTTTTGTGATTTTTGAAAAAGTGGTGCCATAAGACTCACCACCCTCACCCTCACAAGGGACTCACCCTCTGTGTTCATGACACATTCTTCATATTTTCTCCTCAACAATCTGCATGGTTCAGCGTTTTGGGACTTTGGGAGAATATTTGTAATCACTCAAAGAACATATTCTGAAACTTTGAGCTCTGCAGTCCATTTCCTTCTACTCCCATATACTTACTGCGGAAGTTCCTTAACCCCCTAAGGTGAATTTCAATATCCCCACTCTACGGCCGTCAAGGCAGAATGTCAGTGTTCCCACTCGAGCGCTCTGTTACGCTTTACTACGCTTTTCACCTTAGAGGGTTAAGATGGCATTGGGAAGAATATTTTAAATCACAATTGGATTCATTTAAACAATGAATCCAATCCAATGATGTTTTTGTTTTTTCAGTTATCGTCAAAAAATGATCGATCACATATACACATACACACACATAGATCCGGACATGATCTCAAAATAGAATATTCGAACCACTGAGTAATGATGCCGCGAGCCACTCTACGAGATAAAACGTTGGAGAGATGATCTCGGTCTCAGAGAACATTGAAATCTTTGCTCTCATCTCAATCTCGAAATCCGCAGGCTCGACTCCTCTCGTGATGCGTGAATCAATTTATCTCATCTCGGTCTCAACTTTTTCATGTTTTTGTTGTAGTGCAACATTTCAGGTTTTGTCTAGACTTGACTCGTTTCGGTTTTCTACATATAAAAAAACGTGAAAAACTGGCAACCGAGATGGAATAAATTGACCCAGAGTCATCACGAGAGGAGTCGCTACTGCGTATTTCAAGATTGAGACAAAATAAAAAATTTCCGTGTTCACTGAGACCGAGACAATTCCTCCAAAGTATTTTCTCGTGATGTCTCGTGATGCCTCGTGAAATGTCTCGCGGCATCACTACCCCTGAGATCAAAATCAGTTATCTTGCCATGAAAAATTGGAAATTTCGGATTTCACGAATATAATACTTCCATTAGGAAGCAATACAAAGTTTGCCTTTCCTTTACATATACAAGCTTGATGACATAAAAAACATAATGCACGGCTAAGTAGAACATCTAAAGTCGCACGCTTGCGGTGCCCTGTTTGTTTCGTTGTCTGCCGATAAATAGATTTACATTTGTAGGATGAAAAGCGTGGATAATCTGAATTTTACCGATTACCCACATCTTATTCAACTAATGTAAATGATGTTCTCCGAGCAGATAAAAAGCATTCCAAAAATACCTCCCCCCTCATTAACTACTCTTTAGTAAAATGAATCAAGGGTTCTCTTTCATCAACTAATGTAACCAGACACAGTATTGCTTCTTAGGTCCCCGCTTTAAATTTGCCTCCTGAAGGCACTCTTGACAAACAAAGCATTGTAATTAATTTCACTTGCTCCAGATGCAGAATTAATGGACGTCTGCAATTTCCACAGAAATATTTTGAACTAACGGAAAATATGACAAATCATTGATACAGTAATTTCCTCTCAACTCAGGTAGGTCTCCTCAATTTTCATATTAATGTGGAACACGGATTTCTATTTGAATAGGGGATACGAAATGAATGGGTAAAATGCAGTGAGAATACCGGGGATTCTCAGTGGAAAGGAATTTCGATGAGTAGAGAAATTTCTAAACCGAAAGAGGATTGAAATGGATTATGCTACGTAGATGGAATTGTATACATGACTATACCATTCAACCGTGTTCTTTCAATCCACAAAATAAGAGAACAGGATAAAAATTGGTTCATTGCGCGTGACGAAAAGTTGAAATATTTTTATATTCATAATGAATAATTATTACTACTTCGCATTATTAATCGAAGTACTCATTCAAGTCATGAAGAACTCTCAGAGATATTAAGGCAACACAGTATAGAGTAACAGTACTCAAACATATTAGATGTCCGAATAGTAAACGTGAAGTCCACAGCGGAAAAGGGTTTCAAGTTTCCAAAAGCCGTAAGGCCATTCAAAAGCATTGAGGGCCTTATGCGTACTGTACGTTATCAGGTTGTCTCTTGTCGCTTATGCTGTTCATGTTTAACGGTGTGTAACGGTGTGTTCTCTCTGGACGTATAACTTTTGGTCGAAGAGAAATTTACAAGCGAAGTTTCGAAAATGAAACGAGAAATTCGCGAATAGTTGATATACTACCGGTGAGTCTTCGTGCTAAGCCATAAGTGAGTGGTTTCGCAACTTTACTATCTCCAATACACAAAACTTTACGTTTAGCATTATGACACAACGAAGATGGTTAAAAATCCAATGTTAATTGTGATACTTGAAGATTTTAGTCGGGGGGTTATAGTAACTGCAGAAATTTTAGTGTCACTTGTTGGTGGTCTGGAATGCGAAGTCATCCATGAAGTCACTGAAATCGGTGAACTTTGGAAAGTTACTGAAATCTCATAATTTCCAATCATGTAATCATTTTGTTTCCGAATGGAAGCCTTGTATATGACCGACTTTTCGATGTTCTAATTGTGATTGTAAATGACCTAGAATGTTATGAAACTAGTAATGCCGCGAGAGATTTTATGAGACATCACAAGATAATACTTTGGAGAGATGGTCTCAGTCTCAGTGAACACGGAAATTTTTGGTCTCGTCTTAGTCTTGAAATGCGCAGTATCGAGCCCTCTTGTGATGACTCAGAGTCAATTTATCTCATCTTGGTTTCCAGCTTTTCACGTTTTTTATATGTAGACAATCGAGAAGAGACAAACCGAGACAAAAACCGAGATTTTACATTAAAAAACGCGAAAAATTTAAGTTTTCGTTTAAGTTTAAGACCGAGATGAGATAAATTGACTCGGATCCATCACGAGAGAAGTCAATACTGTCTATTTCGACACTGAGATGAGAGCAAAGATTTTCATGTTCATTGAGACTGAGATCATCTCTCTGAAGTTTTGTCTTGTAAAGTGTCTCGGGGCATCACTATATGAAACCTGAAAACATGATGTTTCTAGGGTCATGTCCGTATGTATGTATCTAACAATTTGGGTTTTGGTGATTACTTTTTAGGAAATTCAACATAAATACGGTGAAATTTGCAGATAAAAATCTGAAAATTCAACTCATTGTAACTATGATTGAGCTCAATGGTGGCGCATGGTGAATTCAATCAGGAAGCTCGAGCTTCAAAATTAATCGGATATTTCCCTCGAGCTTTCCTGCAAACAAACGAACGTGCCAAGTTCTGCAGAAAACTGGCCATACTCGACACTCTTATTTGTTTGCAATGAAGCTATCTGGATATACCCGATAATTTTGAAGCTCTTGGGGTATTGCTATTAATTATTTCCCCTATCATCCTTCCGAACAATAGCATTGCGATATTCGACGTCTCGTGGGCCAATTAGAAGAGCATTATATGGAGAATTCTTCCCATCCAAATTTAGAATTCCACTATTCGACTGTTATTTTATATAGTCAACACGGTATTCGACTGATAATTTTAGACAATTCAACTGGTAATTTTTCATGTTGATATATGTACGAAAAACAAAAGATTTCCTGGTCAAGTGAGCCCCTCATTGAAACCGACTGATGGATTTTGTTTCATAGTGCAATTCTCTTGGCCGAAATTTGGATGGAAAAATTCTCTCCCGAATACCACTCGAGCTTCAAAATTAATCAGGTATTTCCCTCAAGGTTCCCTCCCTGCATACAAACGAACTCGTCAAGTCTTTCAGGATAATTTTAAAGCTCATCTTCAGCTCATTTTGAAGCTCAGCTTAATCCCTGATAATTTTGAAGCTCTTGTGGTATTGACATAGGATAATTTCCCGTCGTTCGATAATTTTCCTGTTGGGAAGCAGAATACCTATAAGTTGTCGATTGTACCACGATGACACCGAACACCACAACTTTATTTATCGAAATATCCTACGGAACCCATCCTTCTCGTTGCTACGCAATGCAGCTATCGGGAAATATTCAATAATTTTACAGGTCTCGGCGTATTACAATTGAAAATTTTACATAAGAATGGGAAAGTTTCCCGTGCTAGCATTAGAATTTTTCTAGACAATTTCCTCAATTCTGATTTTGACCAATCAGAGTGCGGTATT